GCTGTAATCTTGCTGTTATAAATATTAACGTACACCCCCGAATTCATCCGCACGTAAATTTTATATACTAGTGTGTAGGTCTATTTTCAATATTTGCATGTCAACTGAGTAAGTATAATTACTAGTTATTGTGGGGTTAAATGGATTTGATTGCTACGGGAATGACATAGCAATTCTCAATGAATTTAAAATTTCCATTTGTTACCTCCCCACTCCATCAAAGCACGCCGTTTAAAGCGAGGTAACAGACAACTCGAATTGAAGCCAGATTAATGTGTCCGAGTATGGTGACATGTCTTCTTTCGGACTGTTACCTTGTGACTAAGCACGTTAAAAAAAGGTCTATCGGTTTAGTTCAAAGCATGGTATCATCAAATCACGTTATCGTCCTGAATATGCATGCGTTGTTTGCCTTTGTAAGTTATGTAGCCATCATTCAATCAATCGTGTCATTCTTCTCAACCTTTATTTAGTTTGAAAGCGTATCAGCTTTTTTATGAAGACTTTGCATGATTTACTAAAATTAAAGTACTTGTTTCGCAGTATGACCGTATAGAAAATTTTGGTTGTCTTTGGTCAAATTTTATTTGTATTAGGTACTTGAACCTTCATGTGCATATTGTTTTGAATTTTTTTTTCTTTTAAGTCAAATCTTATTATAATTTATAAAGATGTATGTTTGTAAAGAGCCGACGTCAAAAGCGGAGCCCGAAAAAAACTTCTATGTCTTTTCTGGTTTTATTAAATTTTTAGTTAGTTGATGTTAAATAGCCTTTATTATGGAAAAACGAGATAATAACAAAAGAATATTACATTACTATACTGTAACATATAAGTCAAATATGGGATTCGGAAACAAGTTTTGAAAAACTTTTATAAATCCGTCTCCCGAAAAATTATACATATATAGAGACCAATATGACGTGCCAACAGTATTTACAGTTAAAGTCTGATTGATTGATGTTTGTTTTGCGCCGCATCAGATTACATAATAATATAATAAATTTCACTATATATTTATTTAAAAAAAAACTACGAAAACTACGAAACAGTCACTAAATCCGTACAAAATGTTTGGTGGTTTGTGTAATCTTCTTAGTGTAAAGCAATTTGAGAATTATACTTTTTGTAAGCTATGTAAAACCTCAAAATTGTCGACAGTAGTAAAGCTACTGAATCCAAGACTGAAAATGACATTTTGAGGTACAAGCAACAGAGAAATAAAGTAAATAATATGAAAAAAATAGCCAAAGAAAAGTTTGAAACAAATTTGGACAGTATTATACTAGAAAATTCCCCGAACTCAAAAACGTATTGGAAACTTATGAAAATGTTGATTAAATCAAATAAAAATTCGGACAACATACCCCCTCTCCAAAATATTATAAATGATAATGGACTAAACGATGTCGTATATGAAGATGAGGAAAAATGCAGCTTATTAAACAAATATTTTAGTATGATTTCAAAACTTGATGAAGAACATGTAAATTTACCCGAATTTAAAACAAAAACTGATAGTAAATTTTCGGAAATCAAAATAAATACACAAGAAATCATAGATATTATCCAGATATTAGATCCAAACAAGGCATCAGGCCCAGATGTGATCAGCCATAAAATGCTTAAGTTATGTCCGGAAAAGGTTGCAGTTCCGCTAAACATTATATTCAATAAATCTTTAAGAGAAGGCAAATATCCAACCAGTTGGAAGATAGCTAATTTAATACCTATTTTCAAAAAGGGGGATTCATCCTTGCCTTAAAATTACAGACCAATTTCTCTTATTAGTTGTGTTGGAAAAGTAATGTAAAGAGTTGTTTTTAAGCACTTGTATAACCATCTACACGCTAACAAATTAATTTATGAATATCAATCCGGATTTCTTCCCAAAAATTCAACTGTCCATCAACTTTTAGAAATATACAACTGCATCTTAAACTCTTTGGAAAAAAAAGAAATAAACTGTTTTGTATTCTGTTATTTCTCTAAAGCGTTTGACAAAGTTTGGCATAGAGGTCTTATTCACAAACTGAAAGCCTATGGTATTGATGGAACCTTATTACAGTGGTTTGAAGATTATCTGCATGACAGGAAACAAAGAGTAGTACTGAATAATTCGTCCCCCCCTTTTTGTAATGTGTCAGCAGGTGTACCCCAGGGATCTGTTTTGGGCCCTCTTCTCTTTGTTTTATATATTAATGATATTGCTGATAAGCTTACATCGCTGTGTAGGCTATTTGCAGACGACACTTCATTCAGTTATTCCGGTAGCGATGGTGAACATATTAAATCTGTGATCGACCGCGACCTGAAAGAGCTGAATGTTTGGTCAACTAAATGGCTTATGTCATTTAATCCTGATAAAACAGAAATTATGATATTTTCAAATATTGAGATACCAGATCTCAACTTTTCCCTAAATGATAAAACTATCCCTATAAATACATCGCATAAGCACCTGGGAGTTACCTTTAGTTGTGACGCAAAATGGAACAATCATATTTAAAGTATAATTACAAGTGTAAAGAAACACCTTAATGTTCTGCGTAAACTTAAATATCGACTGTCTCGTAATAATTTAGAAAAAACTTTATGTAGTTTTTATTAGACCCATTTTTGAATATGCCACGGAAGTGTGGGATAATTGTGGGATATGTTATTCAAATAAATTAGAAAATTTGCAATTGGAAGCCGCAAGAATTGTAACAGGTCTACCAATCTTCACTAAAACTGATACTCTGTACTCTGAGGTTGGCTGGGAATCTTTAAAAGAAAGACGAAGAAGAAGAAAATTACAGATGTTTTATAATGTAAATAAAAAAACATGCACCTGAGTACCTGTGTAATCTTGTCCCCCAATGTATACAAAGCACAACCAAATATCCGTTGCGAAACGGTCAAAATATCATTGTTCCATTTTGTAGATTTTCCCTTACCACTGAATCTTTTATTCCATCCACAATACGAGAATGGAATAAGCTTGACTTAAAAATTCGAAACACCGACTCTATATCTAAATTTAGAAAGAATTGAAAAATGAAAGTGTTCAGAGTAGAGTTGCGCCGTATTATATGTACGGTCCGAGGAAACTGAATATTATTTTAACTCAATTGCGATGTTCCGCTTCATTTTTGAAACTCTGACCTTTTCAAAGCTAACATTATACTGGATCCTTCGTGTCAGTGTGGGTCTGATATTGAGGATGTTCATCATTTTCTTTTAGTTTACCCAAAATACACTACATGTAGAGAAATTTTACTTAACAATCTTAATTGGCTTACTGAAAACTTTATTATTGATACTAAACTATTAACTTGCGGAGATCTTGAACTTTCGAATGAACAAAAATCTCCTAATTTTCAAACATGTTCAAGATTTTATTAAAAGGTCTAACAGATTTCTAGTACCTTCATAAAATATTATTGCTACTGGCACGGATGATCATCACCATCAAACCTAAGTCAACATCACAGAAAATATAATTTGCTTCTTTTTCTTTTCCTCCTTTTCCATTCTTCTTGTTCTTTTTTTCTTTTTATTTATAGTTCGTATAATATTTAATGAATTTGTTAGCTTTACATGCATGCTCATAATGTTATTATAATTGTATATATACTTGTATTGTAATATGGAGAAGACTTTATAAGTATGATTTACTTGTGTCTCATCCATTTTGCTGATATTTAGCAAATACAATATGTTTAAACTAAACTACTGAATCCTCAATATTTATAATATAATGGTGTAGTACAGTCCTTGCATCCCGTATAATAATAATGTCATAGCAGTTTCATAACTTATATTGAAATCGTCCGGTCAATGGGATTTTTCGAATAAAGATCATATTGACGGTTAAGAAGTACGATGACGTTATTTTCTATAGTTTTGCACACTTAGACCTTAAAAATCATAAATCTTGGTTACACCACAGGTTGATAACAAATTCAAAGACGTGCAAATCTTAATTGAGGAAATTATTATCTTGTACCTGCAGAATGAGTCCTTCATCACCTTTGAAGATTCTATTGATATACTTAATGCACTGTTCATTTAGTAACTCAACAAGTCTTTATCTCATTGTATTCGTTTTGCACCTTCGTTCTTTCGTGGTTCTACCTTTTGGTATTCTGATTCATTACATAGATTTTTGGCAACGCTTATCTTTTAGTCTTTCATTCTGGACATTTCAGCACCTTTATCAGTTCTACGTATATGCCAATCGTTAGTGTCCGTGCGAGGACATTGCTGTTTCTTATTATGAATCTTAATATTAAAGATACCGTAACATGTTTCTTAAATATCTATATTTTACATTCATTCTATTCATATCTTTATATGTGGACTAATTATTAAGGTGAACTTAGTACAGTAGGTGTACACATGTCATGTCATTATGAATTTTTTTTGTGTTGTTTTTGATAAAAACAATAATGCAAAGAAACCTTAAAGAATATGCAATACTAAATTCTATAGATGTTTTAAGAAGGGTCTTTAATGTGAATCCATGTTCATATATCTTACGAAAGAGTCAACGCGGTATATTTATAAGACAATAATATATCCATTGTTATGTTTTTTGATGACATGTACTACATATCGCCAGTGCAAATTTTATTCTGTACCGCAGTAAACTGTATTTTTTACTATTTGCAAAAAAAAAAGAAAAAAAGAAGAAGTGTCATATACATCGATGCTATTTTTGTTGTGAAAATGTGCATGGTAGGTTGGGGTTTAACGAGAAATTTATATATGTTTATCAAATTCTTAAAATTATCAAATTTAATAAGTTCGCATGAACACAAGGAAATGTTTGTTTTAAAAGAATGTAGTTTAAACAACAAGATGAGCTTTGACACAGAAATGCTTTTAAAATGTTCTACTAAACATTTCATTGTCGTTGAATTTTAAAAATCTTTACTATTTATATAAAGCATTCAACCGAATTTAAAATATATATAAAATTATAAATCATTTGTTGTGTCATATAGACTATTAACTGAATCATTATATATTGATAATTACGTGAATGAGATGAATGAAATAGAGACTATAAATCATTCGTATGTTACCATAACGGTTTAAAGTATACAGTATTTAAACTATTTAAAAATACCAAACATTGAAAGGAAAGTCAATCACAGTGACTTCTACCATAATTGTTGACTAGAAAAAAAGGTATGTACACAAGATTGTATGCATTTATTTTACCAGTTCATTTGCTCGGTCAAATGTTATAGATGTACAGGGATGGTTTCTACATATACATCATTTTGTTATCAGTAAATTAAAATCAAACTAATTTATTATTTTTATATACATATACACATTGATGGCTCTACAATCTGTCGAATCCTGTATCTTGGCAAGGTCATGTTTTTCTCTGACTATTAATGACGTCTTTACACTAAATCCATTAGATGTTGGATGTGTACTGATTGATATTTTAGTCTTATATGCATAATTTTTGTTACTAGTTGTTATTGGCTTTGGACTACCTGTCAGTAACTGCGAGTACTCTCAGATATGTACTTAGTGTCTTTTTGTTATGGGGATGTATAAGTACCCTGCCACGTCTACTCTGTGTTTTTGTTGTATGTATTTCTGCTTTTTATATATCTGATGAGTTAAGCCCTTTTCAACTGATTTTTATAGTTTGTTCTTATGTTGTATTGTTACACCACTGTCCCAGGTTAGGGGATGATTGGTGCCTTCAAACTAGTTTAAACCCCCCACATTCTTTATGCGCCTGTCTCAAGTCAGGAGCCTGTAATTGAGTGGTTGTTGTTCTTAATCATATTTATATGTCGTTTATTGTTTTGTATATAGCGTGTTCTTGTTTTGTGCTGTTGCACCACTGTCCCAAGTTAGGTGGAGGGTTTGGCGGCTTATAACTAGTTTAACCCCGCCACATTCTGTAGGTGCCTGTCCCTAGTCAAGAGCTTGTAATTCAGTGGTTGCCGTTTGTTGCTGTATATCTTATTTGTTTTTCATTCATTTCTTTGTACATAAATCAGGCCGTTAGTTTTCTCGTTTGAATTTTTTTACATTTGTCATTTCGACTATGCGGTATCGGTTTTACTCATTGTTGAAGGCTGTACGGTTACCTATAGTTGTTAATTTCTGTGTCATTTTAGTCTCTTGTGGCGAGTTGTCTCATTGGCAATCATACTACATCATCTTATTATACGACCGCAAACAAATTTTTGCGGTCGTATATTGGTATGACTTTGGCGTCGTCGTCGTCGTCCAAAGACACATTGGTTTTCGCACAATACCTTTAGTTTAAGTGAATGGATCTCTATGAAATTTTACCATAAGGTTCAATACCACAAAAGGAAGGTTGGGATTGATTTTGGGGATTATGGTACCAACAGTTAAGGAATTAGGGGCCAAAAATAAGCATTTTTCTAGTTTCCAGACAATAACTTGTGGAACGGTGTATGGATCTCTCTGAAATTATACCACAAGTTTCCATACCACAAAGGGATGATTAGGATTTGCTTTGGGGGGTTATGGCTCAAACCGTTTAGGAATGAGGGGAAAAAAAGGAGGAAAAACAAGGGTGTCCTGGTTAATGGACAAATACTTTAGTACAAAACATAATTTAAAGCAGTGTAAGGGAGGTAATCCAAATAAAACGTTTAGATTACCTCCCTTACACTGCTTTTAAATTATGTTTAAAGAAATGCATATTTATAAAGGAAGACCAGTAAAAATATCTGCAAATGTTGCATCTTTTTTTTTTGTAAATACATATGGAAGATTTGACACCATATTTTAAATTCTATTATGAAATAGATTAAGTTAGTACATGGTAAATTTAAATGGGTAATTATGGTTGCAAACTCAATTTTTCTCATTTCAGATTTCAGAAATTAAAAAGAAAAATCAAATATTATTTTTTTTGCAAAAAAAAAAGTGTGTGTAAAGGGGGGGGGGGGGGGTTAATACGCAACAGCATAGTGTATTGCACAAAAGAAAAAAAAAGGGGGGTAATTTTTAATTTTTTTTTGTGGCGGGAAAAGGGGGGGGGGGGGTCAATTCGCAACAGCAAACAATTCGCAACAGCAAAGTGTATTGCACAAAAGCAAAAAAATGAATATAAATTCAAATCATATAACCAATTCTAAGTTCTTTGACTACAGTTATTCTGTCAGAAACATTTTATGTGTCAAATATTTAATTACAATACAAATTCAGACCTGTATCAAGCGCGAATATTGCGTCCATTTTTACCAAAACTGTTCAGGGTTGGACCTCTGCGGTCGTACCCAGCTGCGCTCGGCAAAGCAATTTATTTTTATATGTAATTATACAAGGATAGATTTTCATTTACAAAGCGATGACTTCGAAGTGACAGGAACGGCTACATTCATTTCAATTATTGATTGATTGATTGTTTGCGTGACGTCTAGTGGCAAATATTTCATCACATTCAGGACGAGAACAATTAAATTGAACAATGATATTAAATAATTCAAGCATTATATATGTAGGACTCTAAAGTGCGATGGTACTCTAATGTGCGATGGTCACGCTAAAGTGCGACGGTCTACGCTAAAGTACGATGGTGTCTCACGCTAAAGTGCGATGGTTGTTTGTTTGCTGAAGTACGATGGTATATCACGCTTAAGTGCAATGGACCAATAGAGTAAGCTTCGAGGGATTAAAACGTTAATGTACATGGATTTTGAAAATAGCCTTTTTGCAAAAGCTGGTATGCTAAGGTATAACATACGTGATAGGCTTTATAATTTACCGGGAGGCTTGAGTGATCCTTTCTTAATTCAGAAGACCGACCACGTAATAATTGCTGAAAAGGTAATTTAGGTGTAACAAAATACTGTATTTCCTGTTAAGTAATTTTTACCAATTCGGGCGTATTAAATATTTGAATAATTGGTGTAGCTTGCCGTTCACACAGTTTATCAATAATCTGAACACCCCCCCCCCCCCCCCCTCCTTTTTGTACATTCGTCATTGTAAATAACAAATACAAAATGCGTTCATTGTCGGAATAAGTTACTTTATTTGTACAAGCTTTAATATAAATGCGAGAAAAATGCGATATTCACCGAGCTTTCTCCTTTTTCGTAGCGAGTACAAATACATGTTTTATTTTCCTACAATGTACAAACTATGTTTTAGCCGACAGTTTATAATTTACGCTTAAAAACATGTACCTAGGTATCCTGTATCCAATAGGAGCAGGATACAGGATACCTATGAGTATACTTTTTTGTATCTATATAGTAAAATGGTCGACTGCAGGACACAAGTCCTTCTTCCAGCAGCCGAAAAAAAACACATTTGCTTCAGCCGACAAAGCACTGTTGAGTCTGAAATTAAGTCATGGACATTTATCTTCTAGCACATTCATTTTTGGTTTGTATAAACGATTGCTAACGTCATAATCCAACTACGTTTCTTACGTCTATATACTTTCGCGGACCATCGCACTTTAGCGTATGGAGGCATCGCACTTTAGCGCAGACCATCGCACTTTAGCGTGACCATCGTACTTTAGCGTCCCCATCGCACTTTAGAGTCCTACATATATGTCATATTTGTACATTATGCAGTTGCTGAAAGCGTTAAAGATTACTCCTTTAGAATTAGAAAAAACAGTTAAATACTTGCAAAACTATATTGTAGTAATTCAAATATGAATCTAAAAAAAAAAAAGACAAAAACAAAACAATAGAACACTTCTGTATGGTAAAGTACTTGCAAAAATAAAAACATAAAAAAGAGTCCTAATGTTAGAATAAGGTTTCACCTTCATAATGATATCAACTTATTTGTTTTGCCTATCATGGTTGTCGAGCCTTTAGAGAAAAAAATCAAAACTCTCTGATTTTTGTTTTTGTAATCCGGATGAAACTCTCGCAAATTTGACAACCGAGGTCTTTTTTAATCAGACTTTTTATTCAAAGTTTATTGCAAACATAGATCGAAAAGGCATTAAAAGGATACATAAGGCCTTATCTTTTACATGGAAGAGTAGTTTAAAATTATACTTGTCTTGGTTTTTATCCTCCTTCTCGAGCACTGATGATCCAGTGAATTTAGATGACCGATATATATGATTTATAACAGGAAATGGACATCCGTCATGATTTTTTATATTATTTATCATACTTCCGACCGAAAAAGACAATCGATTCCGAGCCGCTTTCCATTCCTTTTAAAAATACAATTCCTTGGCTAAATAAACTGGAAAAAAAACTTGCTTTACATTTTTTGCACATAATGTATGTATGTATATGTTAAAAACTTTTAATTGTACACCATGTGCTGTATGTATTACTACAATGTACATATCCCAAAGGCAGTATGTTAAAGAGAGTTGATATTTATCAATAAAGGCAGTCTTGTCAATTTGATATGTTTCAATAAATTTATTCTCAAATTTTTAAGTAATGTAAAATTGAAGATTTTCAAATAAATGACATTTTCTTTGTCCCAACATTCAAATAGTTACATTTTAATTACCTCTGTTATTGAAAGGTTAAATTGAATTTTCTTTTAATAGCCATGTTATGTATTATACTTGTGTCTTGTCAGATAACATCTGTTCAGTTCCTCTTCACATGTTAGTACGGAAATATAATACATAGTGGGTTATAATTCGACATTTTTCTTTCCTATGAAATACAAGGTAAATCTAATTAAAATATTATATACTTTATAAAATTTTAAATACACATGTAGCTAATAACATACCAATTATGTGTACCGAATGCATATAGTGTCAATGGTAATAATCATAGTGATATATATATAAGTTGTTTTCGGTTTAATTTATGAAGCTATAATTAACATGTAATGTATTACTTTAAGCAGAGACAAATATATATGTCTCTGCTTGAAGTAGAGCTAGACTTTATCTATTCAGGTAGAAGGATATGTTTTATATTTGGGGTTTCTACTTGGAACAGAATGACATTATTTCCTGCGATACATTTCTTAATGCTAATTATAATCTTACGGAATTATGAACTCAATTTTGAATTATCATTTTGCATTAGATATGCATCAAGTTGAAAATATGCTTGATTTATGCGTATGTAGCTGAGACTCGTACAACACGAATAGAATGCCAATTAATAACTAAGTTTAATCGTGTTTGACTATATTGTGTTGGAATATCATATTATTTAATTTAAAAAAAAGTGAAAGGACTGTGTTCATTTTTGAGGTCTAAAAATAGGTGAAAGGACTGTGTTCATTTTTGAGGTCTAAAAAAAAGTGAAAGGACTGTGTTCATTTTTGAGGTAAATCACGATTGTCTTCTTTATAAATATGTCGAATGTTCGAAGCTGATATTGCTAAAATGCTTGAAAGTTAATGATTATATACAATAAGATTGTTCAACTTTCTAACATTTACAGTATGTACGATTTTGCATTAAAAATATTTTACTTGCACGACAACGTGTATTTGTTCGGTGTGATTTTCAGCACCGTTTTTTAAATACTTGTAGTTTCATTTGAAAGACATTGATTATTTTAATGTGTTGTTAGCATACGTGCGTTTCATGTTATAAAAAGTGTGTGACGATTAGACAATGCTCCAGGGACTGCAGTTTTTGCGGTTTTTTTAACATTATTTAGGACTGCATTGTTCAAAATATTAAACTTGTTTACCCTTATACTATTGTTTGAGTCGTACAGAAACATATCATGAATCCTTACCTGAGGATACATGTAATAATATAATATTGTTTAAGGATGTTCACTCTTCTTGTTTTTGTTTTTTTGCCAGATATTCGGAATCCTCTGGTTTTATCCATGTAGTGCCATTAAAAATTTTGCCCGCTAACCCCTTCTTTTCTTTTCATAATTTTGTTACATCTAGTTTAAAAAGCCTGAAAATCTTATAAAATTCTTGTTATTTGTTCATTGTTTTTGAAAGAAAGAAGGTGCCAATGTTAAATGTATGAAAAATCTAGAGAGAATCATTTCCCGCCAAATTTTCAATGGTTTACATCTCGAAAACAAGCACGCGGACCCTTCATTTTTTTCTGCCTTTTTAGTTTCTTCATTTATAAAAGTCTTTTAAAAAGCTTGTTATTTTGAATCAGAGTAGCGAACATACTTAAGGCTATCAGAGTAAAGATTTCTGCTTTACTAGTACTAGTATTTAGCGTTCTTATGAAGTAATGACAATGCATCATCAGTATTTGGTTATTACAATCTAGCCAATTTTATTTGAAAAAAAACAACATATGCGTAACCCCTTAGTAAAAGTAATCTTCCAAAAGAGTAATTTCGAGTAAGAATGGGATAATCATGTAACAGATGCAATAAAATTTATGATATATTCTAAAACGGCACTGTCGAGATATACATTTACTAGTATGAATTCTAGTTCATTATGTTCCGCACAGGCAAACGAACACTTAGTCTACACAATAAGAGTAGCTACAAGGGCTTTGTACATCCAGAGAGCCTGGCATAATCCCGCAGATTGCACGTACTTAGGTTTACGTCCCAATCACAGCTGTTAATAGAGACATTAATATAGTCGCCTTTTCTAACACACTGTACTTTGTTCTATGGTATTATGTCCTTCATTTAAACTTTGATCAAAATGTGTATCTATTAAAATTTGCGAGATATTCACGTCTACATGTAGTAACGTGTTGTACACAATCATATTCTTAACTATAGAAAGTGAAATGAAAGAGGTTTAAACATATTTTCCTCGGATTTCATTTTGGTTCAAAGATTTCCATATTAAATTAAAATGTTATAGTGTTAAATTTATTACCTTGCATAAACTGTTGACGTTTGACATAATTTCTTATGATTTATTCCAAAAATGAGATACTTTATTAGAAAGTGTCTTATAAATTATTTCCTTGTTGTATTGCTATTTGCTGGATTATTTACCATCTTATACATATAATTATCTGTCATTTAATCGTCTTAAATGCAACAGGTGCGTGTAGATGATTTAAGAATTAAGTTCCCATGATCTTTTGCTATATTATTTAGAATAATCAAATATATGTTAATCGTTATAATTAACATAATCAGTTTCTGAATATGTTTGCAGAACAGACCTAGTATATTTAATGATAATAGTTCCTCATCCTGAATATGCATGAAATACTTGCAACTGGACATTAAATAAGCAACACCAATAAATCAATTTAAACATTTTGGAGACAATGTATTTTGTCACAGATCTCATATGTTAAATATCTGATATTGTTCTAACCTTGGATATTACAGATGTTTACGCATGACTGGTAATGCATGTCTAGCAGGAAATACCTTACAGTACTTGACACACTTTGGTGTTTTTTGAGTTCATAATATATATTCTAAATTTTTTGCTATCTTGTTTGTCTTTTTAAATAAATGATTGGATTTAGAATTTTTACCGAAGGTTTTATGCTTCTTTTGTGGTTTCTAAATTGTTGATGAATCTAAATATAGTGTGTTCATTGGTTGGAATGTCTTTCGGAGATATGTGTGATCTACGTTGATATAGAAGAGAGAGACAAAACCTTACTAAATGTCATATTTTTCGTCATATTTAAAGATTTAAGCAATTATTTGCGGAAAAAATGAATGGAACTCTACATTTACCGAAAGGAGATTTTATTTCGATAGATAAGCTCTAACATCATTCTTAACTTTCTTGAAATCGGCCGTTCTAGTATACCTAAAAAAAAAAAATGCAAAAAGCATACCAGAAAGGAAAGGTGCATTGTCGTTTCTCTCTACAGCGATAGCAGGTATCAATTACATAAATTTCAGGGTAGTGATTTTTTTGGATATATTAGAAACATGCTTTTGAAAATTTTAAGAGGCTTTCACTTAATGTTAAACAGGAATGCTAACAATATAAATGTTGTATTCCAAAAACTCACAAACACGTATATCTAACATGTAGTATATCACACATACGTGTTATCCTTTCATCAATGACAGTTATATATTTCCGGTCATAACGTATTTATCTATCATAATGTTATAGTCGTAGTAAACATTTATACGCATTGTGTAGATATAGGTAGCTTACAATAATATGTACACAAGCTCCAAAGGTTTGCATATCACACTAACTTATGGAAATATTTCAAAAGATAACAATCGGCATTTAGAACACCGGTGATAATGACATGTTTTGGTATTCTTTTTATTGTTTTAATTACTCTTAATTACTATTACAGAGTTTGCTACTGGAATGATATGAAACAGGAAGGAAGTTATTTTGAGACAGGGATTGTTTTATCCTATGTTTTATAAATACTAAATACGCAAAAAGGAACAAAGATCGTGGAGGATTTTGCTATTTTGGATTGATATTAATATATTGTGGACAATAATTCTAATCAACAAAAAGGAGAAAGTTTTGAGGTATAAAATTCCTGTTGTGCAAACCTTCAAAAAACTTATCGCAAAATGGCGGGAAACTATACAAATAGTGATATGACATTAGACGATTTTAATGATAAGGAAACAGCAAAAAGAACATCTGCAATCGTTTATTTATCAGTTGTTATGGCCTTGGGTATTCCAGGAAATTTATTAGTGATTATAGTGTACTTTGGATCACTCCGGCGAAGAGATGGCACTCACTGGATGTACATCCGGGCTTTAGCCATTACCGATTTACTGGTGTGCACGGTCGCAATACCATTTGAATTGTTCCAACAAACGCACCAGTTGACATTTTATTCTGCAGCAGGGTGTAGTGTCTTCAGATCAATAAGCGTACATTTATCCTTGACATCATCTCTTCTTTTAATTGCCATGTCAGGTAATCGTCTAAGACGGGTATGCCAACCACTTAAAAAACAACTAACTACGAATCAAGGTTATGTGACAATTGCAATCGTAGTCGGAATTGCCTTGTTATTTTGTTGGCCGGAAGGAGCGCTGAGTGGAATAAGCTTAGAAAAGTTAGATAACAATTTGACAGGATATGATTGCAGCTTTTCAGACAGATTTAGCGGGAAAGATTACACTACGATATACAGTACTCTCCTGTTAACAGTCTACATTTCGTGTATGCTTGCACTTGTTATTATGTATTCAATAGTTGGACGGCAAGTGCTTAAACGAACCAAATTCCAAAACTCTCATCGAGCAAGTTGTTCAATACCACCAACCTCTGGTGCTACAGAGGTAACCTCATATGAACACCATAGCACCGACACAATTGATGATAAAAGTGAATATGTAGACGATAAAAGAATCACCATTCAGATAATTAAACATCCAGGAATAACTGAAAATATCGATCATAAGAAACATAAAGGAAAGTGCAAGACAAAAAAGAAAACATCGAAAAAGGTTACACGGATTGCATTTGCCATTAGTTTCTGTTTTATACTGAGTTACTTGCCATATGTAGCAGTAAAACTAAATGCATCTGTTGTAAAAGGTCGGTTTACACAAACACCGCTTACGAAAGCCATATTTCCTATCCTAGCCAGAACGTTTATCATCAATAATATCATAAATCCTGTCATATACGGCTTTCTCGATCCTACGTTTTTACAGCATTGCAAAATGACAATTAGATATATCCTATGCACCAAATGTCAAAACTAAAGGTATTTTATTTGAAATATGATGTGAACATAAATCATACAAACATTTTGATATAATTGTTTAGAATGTACTTAGTTCACTGTTGTTAGATCAACCCAATATATTGATTGCTGACTATGATTAACCAGCTATTAAATATAAAGGATGAATGACTAACGCGCAACAGCAAATATTACATGTACATTCAGAACTATAACATTTTAAATTTCATATGACTATAACATTTCAATTTCATATGATTATAATATCTTTCATTTTTCCTTAAAGTTAATTTGTTAACGTTATATCTCACTGGGTCGATACCACTGCTGGAGGACTTTTAATCAATAACCCGTGCTTCGGTACTTATATGATTTACAACATACCCCTTTGAGAATAAAAATAATATTAAGAAAGTAAGTTTCCTGTACCATCAGGCAATTTGACCTTAGATAAATGTGACTATTCTTTTTAGTGCCCGTTCACTTAGCTTCTAACGTTTCTACATATTTATACTTTCCTTACTTTTCTATTGTTTAGGTTTTAGAGTTTTTGAAAACTTTAGAAAAGCGTTTCTGACGCACTAAATGTATGAAGTGTTATTTTTCATATAACAGTTTACAAGAAGACAAGTCGCTCTTCCCGTATAAATTATTCCTTGTGAGCCAACTAGTCGTTTCAATATCAAACGATTTCAGAAGTTGAATTAATGCGATAAGAAAACAGAAATTAAAGTTTTATCCAACTTAAATAGGCTCAGTAGCAGTGAGTGCATCAATTGTTAAAAGTTTACACATATATTATTGGCAAAGATCTGCGTTGACAAACCGTACATGCTAGCTGTACAACAACATGGTGCATGTGATTTAATGTAACTGCCACTTTTAGTATGATTTCAGCTGAAGTTGACTATTAGTAATAATATTTAGTCAAGCTACAAAGCCATAGTTATTTCTAATTTCACACGAAATTATATAATCTAACCAATCCGTTAGATCTATCTTTTGGCGGGGTTCGTGATGATCAGTCTTTAGTTTTTCTATGTTGTGTTCTATGTACTGTTGTTTGGCTTTAGGTCGTTTTTCGTATTTTGCCATGACATTTGTTTATTTTCGACTTATGAGTTTGAATATCCCTTTGGTCATTAGCCTTCTTTTACTGAGTATGTTTATTCTTCTTCTAAGGCATTACAAGAAGTGAACTCAGTGTTGACTTGGTTTACTATGTCACTACAATGCGTCCTAGGCCGGATACCAAGGTATCAATTTAGTATCAGATACCTGTTAATCTATGAATTCATACCAACATAAAATGTCATTGTTACCTCAGTGATGCATAGTTCTTTAATACAGTGCACTTGGAAGTTTTGAATTTCTGTTTAATTCATAACGCAAACAGCTATACTTCACCCATATAATAATAAAATTAAATTCTTTGTATACAATATAAACGAACAGATAGTCTGTCTGGTATGACAGATTGGCTTATAAACCTATAGCAACTTATCATTACTAGTATTTGATTATCAGATAAATGCAAATTGTTTATATACAGTTATTGTTATTGTGATATCTGTAACAATCTTCCTAACGTCAATCCGCTGAATCGGAATCCTGCAGTTATGTTTATTTATCTCTGCTCCGATTCTGTTCATTAAGTAAACATATTTCTATATTTTCGCCCACCAACGTACGAAAGAAAACGCACCTTTTCACTAAACGCTGGTTTATATCGTCGTATCAGATACATTTTGTACTACCTCTGTTTTTTGCAATAATTTTTTTCTTTTCCGTGTGTATAAAATGATAATTCATAAAGAGAAAGATAAAACATATTTTCCAATAAGGACTCATGACGGGCAAAATCAGTACACTGATTAGATACATTCAAGTAAAAATTATTATTAATTGAGATACTCAAAAATCTGGAAAACAACATGAGTTAACATACATATAAAATATACCATAATTTTGAGTATTCTATAATTGACCATATACATGTATCAGAAACAGCATCATATGATATGCGAGGGAAAAAAAAGAAATGCTACAATATGGTATGGGAGTGATTGTCTCATAAAACATATTCCCGTGATTAGGCATGGGGTGTTCCTCAGTGGACACTTCACCAAATTATAATAAAGTCAGAATATTACCAATTTTTAATCCAATGCAGATGGAATATTTTCATTTTGAGACAGATATATTTTGAGATCCCATGTAAAAGAGGGACGAAAGATACCAGAGGGACAGTCAAACTCATAAATCGAAAACAAACTGACAACGCCATGGCCAAAAATAAAAAGACAAACAGACAAATGATAGTACAGATGACACAACATAGAAAACTAAAGACTAAGTTGTTGACTGGGATACTAGATTTTGTTATAATTTTACTATGAAATATATCCTTACTGAAGTGGGTGTCAGTTGAAATATCCAATTACATCATATCCACTTTTTAACACATCCTTCCCTAGAAAATTCAATAGTTATCTGAAATTAAAAAAGGAAGACATAATGATTTTTACATCACCAGAGAATTGACATGGTATATAAAATGGCAATTTGTCAACATTGTCCATGTGACCTAAACCGAGATTTCATATTGGTCATGGAGACATTATAAAGCCGAGTACAAGACTTGAGTTAAAACAGTTAAATACTGAAAATAAGGATAACAAAGGAGGTGATGCTATATATAAGGCATCATACAGACAGAACATAGCTCAATAATACTGTGTGCTTGAGATAGGAAAAAGTACAGTATAATTCTCATGCGACGAGTTGGTAAGTAGGGATAAATTCGTCACATGTGAAAGATGGGCGGCGAGATTATATTCATTTCAGTTCATCTTTTTATAGTGTTAATCGTTTTTGTTTAATTTCAGAAATCATAATTTAAATATAAAAATTCTACGATTTTTTTTTTAAATTTTCATATTTTAATAATCCGCGCAAACGTAGTAACTTTCCAGGACTGGGGTTGTGTCCCTTGAAAGAAGGCTGTGTTGAAAAAAGTCTCTGTAAGTTTTTGTAAATTATCGAATAAATACACAGTGATAAAGTTCAAGATTCGACATAGTAGCATAATTTGTACTTAGCTCGCGAGGAATGTTTTTCATTATAGTACTAATAGTAAATTTCGAACAGTTTTTGATGACTTTAATGTTGACATTATAAATTGTATACTGTGAATAGAGCTCAAAATTACAACAGTCCGACAATGAGTGATATGGGTGATAACGATTCTCTAACGGATCATAATGATATTGACTTGTTTAATGATCCGAGTCAAAATATACAAAATGATGTTACAGACAGCCAGTTTAATGATGAAGATATGTTCAATTTAATTAAAACGGAATTTGGTCAACTGGATAGAAAAACATTTAAACATGATTTATTGCAACACACAGATTTAAATGATCTTAAACCAATACGAACTTCACTGTTTGATCTGGTAAGAAAACGAGATAATACATTAACAGACACAAAACTTGTTGAGCGAACAAACAGGGATAATGGTCAGTCAGCTGGAGACAAGATGGCAGAAGATATATTCGTTATTTTTCAATATCTTGAAGGGGCTAATAATATGTCCGAATTACGACAGTGTATATCTAGGAGTAGAAGACTTACGACTGTTCCAGATGAAAATGATGGACTCCTTACCGATATCTTTAATAAACTATCAAACAAAGCCAGATACACAAGTCAAGGAACTGGCAACTCGGTCGTGATTTCTATGTTAATGGAGGTGAAACAGATGATAAACGACGGACTTAAACCAATTACGGCGAAGGTTGATAAACTTTCTTGTAACTTTGAAAACGATATCAAACTATTGAAAAATTCTCTTCGTAATAAGGACAACGAAATTATCAATTTACAGACACAGATTTCTGAATACAAACAGCGAATAACACAGTTACAAGCAGATGTTAAGTTGAAGACCCAAGAGTTAAAAGAGCGCGATGATGAACTTGATCGTGGTAAAGTACAGAAGAAAATCACGGACAAAATTGCAAGTAGATTGGATGCTCTCGATAACAGACTAAAAAGTCAAACAGTTCAGAAGAAAACGTTGTACAGCGATGTAGTAGCAGAAGATCTGACGGTGGAGCCTAGAAATATTCCGGTTATTGATACGCATACTTTTAGAGACTCAATAAACACCGATAAAATGGATTTCCCGACAAATGTGCACAGTTCGTCTAGGCATAATTACATTGACTTTATGACCTTAAATAATAATACCAATACACATTCAGCTAATACT